AGTATATACGAGTGAAAAGTTTCGAAATGTAGATCATGTGGTTTTTATATTAAAACAATAATAATTCATTTGTTGTCCTTACATTTTTTCGGGCCCCAAAGCCGAGATGTAAATGATCACCTCCTAAAGATACTTCTTGATTCTGATTGACATCATTTGAGTCTTTGTTCGCATTCTACTGCAACGGCGACTTGATTACATATGAGGACGCACGACCGCAGTCTAACGCGAGCAGCTTTTCAATTGTACATGTATACGCGACTGGCGGGGCAAGGTTCTTCCTATTCTTCGCGAAAAAAAGGAAGAAAAATAACACATAAGGAAGATAAGAGCGAAAGAGACCAGATCTCCATGAAACGGTAAAAAGAAAAAGTCAAGTAGAAGAGAGAGAGAGAGAGAGAGAGAGAAGAACTTTGGCGATAACGAATAATTCGAAAGCCGATAATTCTAATAGGCAGGAAAAGAGCGGAGGAATATGTGTGACCGTAAAAGTATGATTTATATGGAAGTTTTAAGAAAAAAAAGCCTACCAGGTGTAGTGAGGTGGAGAAATAAGGGGGGCTACTTATAATTTATGGTAATGGGATTAGTCGCTACGTTGTACGACTACCAGGGGTGAGATCGGAGGGAGACTCGTTTGTCTTTAGCTCAATCGATGGATTATTTTACTTTTCTAACGCATGAGATTTTTAATGTCATGGAAATAGGAAAAAAGTAAGAAAAAGGTATCAGTCAATGAACGCACTTTCAACCTCTCTCCTAGCATATTACTCATAAGTTCTTGAAAGTTTGTCAAAAAAAAAAAAAAAAAAAAAAAAAAAGTTTATGATATATGGATATGTATATATCCTTGATTTACATTAATTTGAAATTATTTAAAAACAAAGCAAAATTTTTCAATAACGACGAGTTAACTCAAAAGACTAGAAACATCCGTGGTAATTATAAATTGTATAACCCGTGTGCACTACAATAGCGAGACCATGAGAGTTTATTCGATCATTGTAACAATTGCAGTAACTCGAGTGCAACCGACATTTTTTAAAATTTTAATTAAAATTAAATGCAGAACGAGCATGATCACGCACACGCGCCACACCGCAATCCCCTTAGTCCCTGCAAGCTCTTCCATTCAATTTGCCGTGCACACGCGTCCCGACTTCGCGCCATTGAAGCGCGTTACAATTAATTTATCGACGTGACAAGTCAAGCTTCGTTTCGAAAAATCCTCGACGCTTTTGTCAGGTGATTGCGCAAAAGCGGAGGATTGGGCCACGTGTAGCACAATGGGAAAGTACGGATGGTAAATCGGCTGTAATGCAGGGCGGGACAATTCGCTCGATGTCGCGCCTGCCCGACGCGGCCAGTGCGCGAGTTGTTATCGATGACGTTGTTGGATTTTTCGGGATGATTTACGATCGATGAATTGGAATTAATTAGGGGCTCGTAAGTTTTTCTTTCCCCCCCCCTCTTTTCAATAATTTTGATAAATAATGCGGCATTAATTCTCACACGTCACTGTAAGTAATTTTTCAACGCACCACAGTAAATGTTAATTGCTACGTGTATGAAAGAATCACTCTTTGAATGCATCGTGATTTTAAAAACCGCAGTTTCCGTAAATTGTGCTTTTTAAAAATTCGTGTACCAAGTACTTTCGTTCGAGTTTAAAATTTTGCATCAATGACGGTTATTCCGTTATCAGGCGGCGGTATAGTGTGCCCATGTAAGAAAATGCGCCATGATTCCAACAACGTTTGGTTGGATGTAGTTTTGCATTTTACCTGCTGATAGTTGTTTTCGCATTCACCATTTGCAATATTATTATACTCAGCTTCATCTATACACTTAAATTCTGTCTCTGTTATTCTACTTACTTCCACTTCATTGCCCACAAGAGTAATTGATTCGTAATCAGTGTAATAGGTATTCGAGATCCCTTTGACAGACACTTTTCAACTTTATCATAAATATTAAACATGTCCTGGGTAATCGTTTAAAACGGAACATTAAAGGTACGTATTTTAAAAAACCGTAGACTCGCAGTGCGAGGTAAAGTATTGCGTAACCGCAGATTGAATTCGATGAATCGTGATACCTAACTTATATAATTTTATTATAATTGTGGATGAAAAGTGGGGCGTTAGAAGCATAGGATTAAAATGGACGTGAGGAAAAAAAGGGGTAATCCCTAGCTGCAGTAGCTTCCCACGTTAATGTTTTTCCGATATTGGCGGCGCTATACTGATGGGGGAAAAAGGTAAGGCGCCACCTATTTCACGCTGTAAATAAAAATGCAACAGCCCCAGACAGGATGATGGTGGTGGTGTGCGCTACTCTTCGCCCCGGGATATACCAAGCACTTTCTTTTACTCCTTGGTCGGAGAGCTGTACGCGTGTTTACTGTGTAAGTGAGAAAAAGGAAAAGCCGGAAAGAGAAGATAAAGGGGTTGAACTCTTTTTTTTTTTTTTATGGAAATATTTTCCATCGTTGCAAAAGGAGGATGTGTGTCTTGAAGGTGAAGTTTTCTTTGGATAACTTTGAACTTTCATCGTTACGGCGATGGGTGAATGTTTGTCTTTGGGATAAAGAAATCTAAGAATATACAATAGTATAAAATTCGTAGTCATGATTATTTGATGAAAAAAATCAATTTTTTATTAGTAACCGACGTATTGTTTGGATCTGATCGTTTTTCATTTTTGTTTTTTCAAAAACATACTACTGTGACAGTCACAAATGTACACACGGTCATTTATGTGTCATTTATGTATGTTGTACTTCGAACATCGCCGTAAGCGGCTTTTCAAAAGTTCTCCTCGCCACTCGAATTATCTCAGCGTAAATGATGTAACAGCCGATGAGTTCAAAACAATTTGATTCAAACTATTTTTAAACAAGCTGCTTGTTCAATATAATATGATTGGAGGGATTTGCTTAGTACGATGATTCCATGCAAACGTTGTTTTGTTTATGTTGGATGAATTTAAAAAAAAAAGTTTTACGTCTAAAACGCACAAAATTTTCACTATAATGAATACTAAATGTGTTATGTAAGCTAAGATCAATTATCATTTATAAATTTGCAATAGTTTACGTTTTAATATACGCCAACAAAAAAAACTAAACGTCACAAGAGTTAATCTTTTGAAAAAAAATTTCGCAAAATGTGATTCATCATATTATGAAATCCTTACCAATAACCATTAAAAGCCAAAAACTAAATTGTAAATGGCCACAACATTGAGAAAAAATATTCGACATGTGTACGATTAGTATGATGTTAGATGTACAATACGACAGTGTACTATCAGTGCGAAAGAGCAACAACATTTTGTAAATCCCATGCATTACCTCTAAAGTGACTTTCAATAAGTTACTAATTGAACACAAGAGATGCTCCAATTCTAATACTGGATTACAAGTTACTTTCAAAATGGCCCTAGTTGACTAACAGTAAGAAAAAAAAAAAAAAAAAAAATTAGTAAGACGTATTTAATCTGTATTTCCTTGACGTTGTTATTATTTCATTGTACTGTACTTGGGAGCACCCTTAAATTGTTTTCTCCATAATTTCTTCTAATGATATTTCCAATTCAAAACTAGTGGGACCTTTCGAATTATCCTGGCGTTTTACCAACATACATCAGAAATCGCCATGGTTTTTCAAAGAACAGTAGCTCAAACCGATGAAACGGAATAAAATTCCTCACTCGCGTCCACACGAATCGTCGAGAGCTCCAAAACCCATCAAACCGTGCATGATAGCCAAATCGAGTGAACTTCCAATCACGGCAAACTCGATTAATCGAAGGATACGACCAACTTCCGCGAAATAGGTATATACGTATGTACATACAAATCTCCGCAAGCACCGCAAGCTCTTGACTCGGCGAGGAAGGTAATTACAATATTTGCACTTCTCCACTTCAACCGGCACACCCAAGATATATCCAAACTGTCCGAGGGATTCCCGATTTTATTTACATACATCAGCCCTCGAGTTCTCGAATCGGTGTGTGTGTGTTTTGCGAGGACGCCCTCGCACGTTACGTCGAGCGGGGGAATGAGCTCTTGGACCAACTTCTGATTAATATTCACGTGCCAGCTCTCGTGACTCATTCGACCGAAAATTGATAGAAAAGCTCGTATAATACAGTATTATGCAGAAACTTTTATCATAATGGTATCTTAGCCCCGGGAGGGGAGTATGACGTATACAGGTAGAAAAAAAAAAAAAAAAAAAAAAAAAAAAAATTACTGGCAAACAAGCTCTTGTGGAAAAATCACGAGAAAAATCCCAAGCTCGAGACCTTATTTACCTCAGCTGCCTTCCCGATAACAATCTGATTCCTTCCTCGCCTTGCCCCGCCGCCGCCCTTGCCTTGAATCAGGGAGCTTGTTCGAGAGAATCCTATACCTGCGTGCATCGGAGCCGGCGCGCGTCGGCAAAATTAAATACAAGACGGGAAAGGGGGATGAATGACGGAATCGATGAGAGGTGTTACTTTTTTTTTTTTTTTTTCTCTTTTCATCCGTACGGATCTGATTTTTTTAATACGAAGATAGTTTTGTTATTTAGGTGGACGAGATTAGACGACGGTGGTACAGTCATGCCCTCAAAATTTCTTCGATCGTTAATTTTAAACGTATGCAGGCCTTTCGTTTTGGTCTGAGTTCTCGTGGTTGCTTCAATCGCTGTGAATATATTTTCGATGAAAATTGACTACATATTCCGAAATATGGAATCGCTAAATTAATTTTAGGTTATTTAATAAGAAAAAAAAAAAAAACTCCACAAGTAATTCAATTTTTTCACGGTATGAATGATAATGCGTGTTCATTTGTTAAAAGACTAGAAAATTACTTATTTCATGCGAAATGTATGTTTTCAAAGAAATTCTCCCTTTGACAATTGTTTAAAAAACTCAATTTTGAAGATTCGAGCTAAGCGTAATAACAATGTATTTTATTATTATATTTTTCGGATAAATTTCAGGTGAATACTCTAGAGGTTTGTCTGGAAGTACGGGAGAAAAGAAGGAAAAGGAGACAATCATCCCCTTGGAAAGTTACGGCGCACCGCGAGCTCCCGGTGAGGTGAGAAAATTGACATAAAATGCATGTTATCGCATTTTGCTTTGTCCAATCAATAAAATGTAAAATGATAAGATGCAGGCAAGCAAAATTGATGACAAAAAATTTTGACGGGACGTACTTATCACCCACAATGCAAGCCATTATCTTCACTTTTGTACAGGGTTAATGCATTTTTGCCTCGCAGCCAGGACAATAAATTATTTTGCAATCAAACCACTGTCATTAAAGTTTATTTTTTTAATTATTCGTATTGCAATTGAAATTCAAATATAATTGTGTTTCAATTAATCGTTAATTTCAATACATTATAACTAACAATTCAATCATTAATTAAAATAATAATAAGTTAATAAATCTTATGGAAATATTTTCCATCGTTGCAAAAGGAGGATGTGTGTCTTGAAGGTGAAGTTTTCTTTGGATAACTTTGAACTTTCATCGTTACGGCGTAGTTATAAGTACGGGTGTAATATATAACGACTAATTAAAATTAAAAAATCAATTATTTTATTTAAATGTAAAACAAGACACTACGTAAAATGTTAACCACAATGTAAAAATCATTACGAATTGATATTNCTTGTTTATTGAAGTAGGAATGAGCTAAAAATTTAATGTTAATTTTTAGTTCAACACTAATTGAGTTGAGATTAAATCAAATCATTTAGAATTCTGCACACTGAATTTATAAAATTATTGGTTCTAGTAATTTTAATTAACAATCAGCTTAGACAAAAGTTACGATATTATTCACTTTGAAGATAGTCAAAAGCTTATTTAAGTTGTAGCGGAGTAAAAATGCGAACCGGTTCGAAAGTTATGGTCGCTTTGAATTTCAGCTTATCCGCACACCGTAATTTTCTAAATTATTGAACGCAATAAGTTTTAGTATTACTTTTGAACTCGAGTAAAATTTAAAAAACTCTCGATTCGATCAACATTTTTGATTGCACTAAAGTTTAAATTGAAACTCCTTTTAAGTGACGTTAAATTTCTGAAATTAAATTATTCTGTACCGATAAAAATTGTAGAATTTCCATCGAAAACTATCATTTTTTAAATTCCTCAGCTCATCTGTTTCCAAAAAATTCAAACGAGACGTATCGCATTTGCAGCGTCAAACTAAAGCCAATAAACCGCGTAAAATTTTTGAAAATCGATTAGCATTGTATACGCAAAAATCTTTCATTTTTACTATAAATTTTTCATTTTTTTATTTTTTAACCAACGCTGCAGCCAAAAAAAAGCCAATATAAAAGGTTGCAATTTTTTTTCTCTGGATCTGCACAATACCATCAGCCGGGCGGCTCCATGGTCGTCGTCGTGGCTCGGCGCACGGATGGAACGGGCCCGTGATGGAGAACGAGACGCAGCTTAGCGAAGACGGAGCCCCACACAGCAACAACTGGCTCGCCAATCGCACTGAGCTCGAGTTCGCCGACGAGCATCTGCCCAACTGGGAGGACCTCTTGCTCGCGGTCTGCTTCAGCGTGCTCATCATCATCACCATTGTGAGAGCCGCGTTTGTTCTCTTCTTCTTTCATTCATTTAATACTCCCATCGTACAATCACATGGTGAATTTTTGGTTAATCTGATGTGATAATCTATTCGTAAAGTGGAATTTATCTCACCGATAAGACATTTTTTTTTTTTTTTTCCATGCGTTATTATTATGAGAGTAAATTTCATGAAATGGCTGGGAACTAATATTTTGAGGACGAATTTTGAAGTTTTCGGTTGACTTTTGGAGCAAGAAGTTAGTTGGGAAATATTTGCTCCAAACTTCATCGGATGGTGGATTAAATCTTAGTCCAGCATAGTGTCTTTGTCTTGTACTTGTACTTTGTCAAATGTACTAAAACAATATTAGCAAAAATTTGTTATACATGGGACTAAATTTTTGTGAGTTCAACTCGGTTATGAAAATTTTATTGATTTTAACGCTTCAAAATAACAATAGTCATTGGACCAATGTAGGGAACAATAGCTGTAAACGGTACTTGAACAAAGCATAGGTCATACTTTGATGATAAAATTAAAACAATAACAAATACTATCGAATTTTGATGAAATCTAGAGTGAAAAAAATGTGACTGAGAAAAATATGAAGAAAAAGAGAGAGAGAGGGATCATATGTTTAAATCAAATAAATACTACGGCAGTTTATTTTTATTGAATTTTTTCTCATTATACGCTAAAATAATTGTAATTGCTGGAATATATTAATGACTAAGAATATTAGACCATTTTTTTATTATTATTTTTTTTTTTCATTAACTTTTACATTATATTTTTGATTTATGATGAATACATTACTTTAAAATGTACTTAGAAAAAAAATTAACGATATTACTCACTATAACTTGCATTAAAAAAAAAAAATCCCTATAATTTTTGTTTGTGCCGGGAAGTAATGCTGGGATAGCATTTGTCGCAAGTAGGAATCGGGATCAGCGAGTTAATAAATCATCACGTTGCTTAAAACTATATACGAATTTATTAACAGAAAATGTTATCGCTGTGACAGAAGCGTTCTCAACAGCGACCGTGAGCTGAGTGACTGTTGCGCAGAACAGTTGAATTTAAATGTCTCAAGCATTTTGGGTCTGTACATTGAAACAATACAGTGAAAATAGCTAGAGGTTAAGAAAAGATAAATATAAGCTTAATAAAGGCAAAGGTCTTTGTTTTGATTTTGCACGTAAAGAGATAGTAGACATAAGAAAAGCGTGTAAGAGAGAGAATGCTGATGTAAATGAAGCGCAATGAATATAACTTGTAAATTGAACAATTTTGAATATTTAAAAATAGTTGAAGTAAAAAATCTTTAACCATAGAAAATAATAAATTAAAATTGAATTAATTATTAAATAAATTGTTACACAAGTAAAGAACCAATAATAACTTTTATAAATTGCAAATGACAAATAATCTCATAGTTAAAAAATTCTAAATCATGTAATGTTTTCATTGACGAATGATAGACTTATTAAAATTTTAAAACCTCGAAAGCCTTAGGTATTGAGGTAACTATCGGCTTTTTGAAGCTCTTGAAATGAAATTGAAAAATCCTACATTGATGCCTCAAACTCTAATTGCACTTGCCTAAATTTTTTTCACAAAACCATTTCACTGTAAGTAACATAAATCCTTGAAGGAAAAAAACACCTTCATTTGCGCGCAAGAAAAAGCGATATCGCAATTCTAAAGGCTTGTGAATATTTATAACGAGCAATATAAATCTTCAACTTGGGCGAGCACTCGGCATTCCCATTTGCCTAGCGAAGCGACGATAACGAAAAAAAATTTGTATACATTTCCTTATCCCCACACACAACAACGCACACCAACAATACCTACTCTCTCCATCTCCCAAAAGCCATTCGCTATTTTTCTTCCTTTCGCGCTTTAATACACCTCCTACCGACTTTGCCTACCCCATTCCCCTTGGACGGCGAGTCCGCACCCGTTGCATTTCCGTGGATTGCTTTTACGTATTATTACTCGGTGCCCAATGGCTTGGCCGGCGAATCGAGAAAGGGATCACTGGTCCACCCGACCTTACTACTGCTCTCCTCTATTGTCTCGTGCCCCTTATTTTTTCGACTGTTCCCCTTTGCCACCCGATCTCATCTTTTCACTACCCTCTTTCTTAACCCTCTAACTTAATATTTTTTTTTTTTTTTTCTTTCTTCTTGTATGCCAGCTCACCTCGGGCTCTTACTTTTTTTTTGCCTTCCTTTGGAAATGAAGGTATTACAGGTATGAATCCGGTATTGGTATTTACTGGAAAAATTAAAATGGCTGACGCATCATTGCTTCCCACGTTGTTTGTCAATTTTCTTCTCCAGTACTTTTGGCTCTAATTTTCATTTTTTTGTTCCACAGAGATTTTTTTAGTATCACAGTCCCAGAGCATCCACATAGCTCCCACCCATTCGTACACTTATTTATTTCTGCATCCTCAACAATTTCAAATATTCTGCATGAATATTCGATCACTTTCACCTCATTGCGAATAAACCGTATCAACATAACGCACGATGAGACAAGAATATTAGATGCCACATCGTGTGAGAAGCATTTATTAATGACATAAACTTTGAGTACATATTTGTACGAATATCCAAGCGCAAAACAATTGTCTTTTGCCAAACAAACAAAAAGAAAAACACTTCGAGAAACCTCATGCATCACAAGTATTCCTGCAACTGCAGCACAAACGGCAAAGGGATCAAAAGCTCGGGATGAGCTATAATACTACACGCACCCTGCAACACCAGAGAGTTTCTCTTCGTCCGGATCAAGACCCTTTCGTTCGCACTCAACGACTACGGATTGGCCAATCCTCCCCAGTACGGGCCAATAAAGACCAGCCTCGGTAGCACACTGATATTCGATCAACCGCAAAACCAAACCGTGCCATTGAATCCCTGCCCCCCTTCCCTTGATCAATCCACACATACACATACATACGTACATACGTGCACACGCGTGTGAACACATGATCATCTTTGGTCTCTCGATTGCAGGTGGGCAACACGCTGGTGATCGCCGCGGTAATAACGACGAGGCGACTGCGGTCCGTCACTAATTGTTTCGTGTCCAGTTTGGCAGCCGCCGATCTGCTCGTCGGCCTCGCAGTCATGCCACCGGCGGTCATGGTACAGGTACGTGTTCTTCTCCCTTTACACGCCCCCGTGTCTTGCAGAGTTACACGATCCCGCCCCCCCCCCTACCGTCACTTATCACCCTCGACATCGTTCGATCCAGCCCTCGTAGTTTCTGGCTGATAATTAGCCAGTCGAGCGCTACCGCCATGGGCGTGGTTGGATGTTTCATCGACAATTTACCCGCGTAGCTCTGCGGAAGGGCAAGTACGCTGGCCTGGAATTTAGCTTCGAATCAAGGACATTCGAGGGACAAAGGCTAGTTTGAGATTTCGGTTGGTGCTTTGTGGTTTGGGTTTTCACGCCGGAATATGTATGTTATCACATCACCGGTGTTTCCACACGGTAGTACATGCTACTTCCAGCCTTTTGCATGGTTTGGAGGACATTTTTTTTCTTTTTCTTTTCTACTCTATTCGTGTTCAATGTCGAATATGGAAACTCATTATTTATGGCCCGGCAAACTGTCTCCATTCCCGGGAGTATCGTTCGTTTAACGTAGTTGCACTGTTTTTGTTACTTTGCGAGAATTCAATCCTTTGGGGGAATGGGGGGATGAAAATTTAAAATTGCATGTGACTCGTGTCAGCGAGACTGTTGTTCCGAAGATTGTACTTTCCAAATCATGGTCGTTTCATAAATAAAAATTACTACTAAAATATGATGGTTGAATCCTAAGATAGTATTTACATTAATTAAAAAAAAGTGCGATCGATCTTTTAAAGATAATTCACTCAATTTTTTATTGTCTGACCTGTATCGATTTTGACTACTGATTCTTTAAGCACCACTCAAATAGAAATATTGACCTATTCATGGCAATGCAGGAATAAAATAAAAATATAAAATTCATGTTTGTGAGTCTTTGTTTTAGTAACTGCTATTTTTATGAATCTTTGGACAAGAAAATTATTTAAACAAAACATGGTTGGAATAACTAACTTGGTTTAAAAATAGTTGCTCACTGAAAGTGATAGCTGACCCAATGGATACTTGTCTGACAAATATCGAGTCATATAACTGAATCTCAACTCTCCTTGCATTCTTTTTCAGACGTCGATACCTATTAAAGAATTTATAAGAGATTGCAAGAGTACAACAAAACTCGATTGTGAAATTTCGTTTCAAAAACTGCAATTTTCATAACTTGAAAATTAAAATCATTCAAACGAAATATCAGTAAGTGATGGTATAGTTATTTAATTGATTAAAAAAAAACCATTAATCGCCTGAAGTGGTAAGTAAGCCCATTTATAATTGTCTGACTAATATCGATTCATACTACTGAGTCTAGGCTCTCTCTGCGTATTCTTTTCCATACATTACATTGGTATTAAAAAATCCATAAGAATTCAGGGATGATATAAATGAACAAAACTCGTCTATGTAGAGTTTTTTTTCAAAAGAAATTACTCTTTCTATAATCATTTTACTAATATGAATTGTCTAAAATACAGTGCAACCCAAAAATGAAATGATTATGTGATTACATTAATAACTAAGAAACAATTTTTTAAAGCAAAATGCGTGACAAAATTCACGACTGCTAGACCAGTATTGTTTTGTACAACTATTATTTGATGTCCGTTTCTTTAGTACTTGTATTGGCAACTCCATGGTAATGAAGGGACAAAAGAAATTCATAAAACTCATGATTGTGAGGCTTTGTTTGGAAGACTGCACTATCTACAATAATTTTATAAATAACAATTTTTTGATAAATACCAAAACTAAATTCTATGATTGAAAAAAAAAATGATCCATCTATTAAAACGATAATCGACGTAGCTTATCTCTGTCTGACCAATATTGATTCGCACTACTGATTTTCAGCTCTCCGTATGTTCTTGCTGAGACATATGTATCAATTCATGGCATTGCAAGGATGAAAAAAATGCATCTCGAAATTATTCCACTCTCTCAATATCTGATGTTTCGCACAGCATCTTTCTATTCTGCGCTGCAAGGCTACCGTTGCTTTGATCCACGTAAAATATGCTTACCTTGACTTTTTAATCTCGTGAAAATGCGAATGTGTTTCTTTTTGTGTATTCAAGGCGTACACCGTCTTCTTTTTTTTTGAGCTTTATCATCTTCTTTCTTTGTTTTCAAAGAAAAAATGAAATGGCCAGTGGGCTCGGAATGTATAATGGCGCTCGTTGTAATATTGTTCCAGATCCGTGGATTACTCATTTTATTTTTATTTAAAGTTTTTGCCAGTATAAATAAAAAATTTTTAAATACAGTAACATAAGAAACTGAATTTTGACAAACATGTCACTTATACTTTTTTTAACGTGAGGCGGCAGTACCATGTAGTGATGAGATTGTTATGAAATTCTTGTGTTTCATGTGACTGGAAGGCAATTTCATCAGTAATTGACATTGAATTCCAATTAATTACTAAATTTTACACTTCGTATAGCTGCACGAGTTATTTTTAATCTCATGATCTCTGTGGAAAAGTTAATCAAGAATGTGCATACTAATATTAAAATTGCGTTCGAAAATAGTAGGTATCGTCATGATAAGCGCCATTATTACTGAGGCTATTTATCGGTTCGAGGGACAGCAGAGTAGCTCCGGCTGTATGACGCTTACATGGTACTGAACCCCCAATTTTATATAGTAAATGCTTCAAGGTAGAAAAGGTATATTTATTCGCTGTAAATTTAAACTTCCACTAATAGTTTGATTGCTTGCCTGGAAAAAAATGTCAATTAGGCTTGATTACTATGACGATTCTTTACATATTACAAAACGAACTATTGAAAAAAGCACGTGATGCTACGAGAGAAACAATTCATCAGTGTATAGTGGCGTTTAACGAGGCACAAATAGCTATGAAAGGGCAATGAAACAAACACTAATGGCAGCGAATCAACGCAAAGAGAGCCATTGGATCGTATTGCCAGGCTTTTAATTAAAAGATCTCCGTATTGCATTACATCGTGAGTGTAATGGGAGAAAAAGCACGCAAAGCTCGTCTGACTTGCTTAACTTGCTAAGTTACGAGACGAGCGTTAATTTTCCAATTTGCGTTTTTTCATACTCGGGGATCACGTGTTCATAAATATATTACTTTTTGTGTACTAATAGGCTTCAGACAACTTTGAAAAATAACAATAATACTTGTAAATTGATATTAGTTTTTTGTTTCATAGTCTTGATTAAAAACATCGTAGCTTGTTTCGACAAAATAAAGCAGTGAGTCTATGAGCTCATCAAACAAACAAAATGTATTCCCATTTGGTTTACCATAAACATAAAACTGAAATATTAATACAACTAATTCATGGTGAATGAACTGCTTCATTAATTATAGTCATGTCAATTAATGCAGAATTTATATTGTTGTACAACATTCTCTTTGATATTATCGAATGTCGCAGTCTGTGAATTTTTAAGATGTACCCAAAAAAACAAATGTTTTGAGCCTGTGAAATGTGACTTTTTTTTTGGTTTTTTGGTTTTAAAGTTTTATTTTTTCAAGACCTACATTTTTTTCTCGATTGGGCACGGACCTAGAATATCCACTTTAAAAGTTACATGCAAAAAACTGATTTTAATTTTTCAGAGCTTGTGCAATCTGGGTCAGGTAAACTTTTTTCCTTCGAAGAAATTTTATGGATTTGTAAAAAGTTACAAAACAGTCGAATCGGATGTAAAGTTTTGAAGATAGTCGATTTACATGTCTTCATAAGAAGTGCAGGTTACACCTTTTGCTATGGTAATAATTTGGAGCACTTCAATAACCTACTTCAGGTTCGTGCCACATACACACGTTTATTCGTTAGCCCTAAATTCTTGTTCAGTCCAAAAAAATGCATTCGATTTGCACTTATGGACTCTAATCATAGGAGAAAGCCACTTTGCTCGGGCACACTTTTCGTCCAAAGCCACGGATCGTCATATACTTGCATCCCAAAGAAAATAAACGAGAAGAGCCAGTCCAAACTTTTGAACGTCGAAAAATCCTCCGTTGCCCTCTCAGGATTCCAAGGAAAAGTTTTTAGCGCGAGGGCCGATGATTTGATGCTACGAGTCCCGTGAATGTACGCACTCGAGTTACCCACCGGCTCGTGGCAATCCTCATGCACGGAAGATTTAACTTTTCGGACTTGCTTTATGGGAGGGACTTTTCTTTCACCGGTGCATCAAATGCCTCGCTGGCGAATCCTTGGGAAGTTTGATGTTCTTTTAAATCGACGCAGTTCTCCTCGTTAATCTGCCTGGGCTGACGGATATCGATTCGTACTACTTGCTTTTTGAGCATTTCTTCTTGGGTGAATTGAAGAGACGATTCAAAAGTTTTGCGCGTAAGAAGCTCGTGGCAGACGAGTCCACTGGAGTTTATTTTTTTGACACCTGAATCTCCCAACTGTGGAAATACGTTTTTATGCTAGTAATGACTTACTTAATGCGGTTTCACGCGAACAAAATTATTTTTATCCAATTTTCAGTAGAAAGCCGTCGTAGCGTTTCCTTTAAATATTTGTACCTTGAATAATTTCTCGTTGTTAAATATTTTCTGCTTGAAACAAGCCCAACGGTCTCGAAGAAAAGTTTTCAAGGATTTCATCAGGATTGGGCACTACATTAACAAGAGCCTACTTACGTGGCAAGTAAAATGATTTGTATCAGGCCAGGTGTACATATTTAAAAGCTCGAGATTTAGTGGCTGGGCTTGTAACGAATGAGGTACATTAATTCCATCTTATTCGTCGAATGCAGGTCATATAAATTTTGAATGAGGCCACACAAACCTTAGAGAATGTTTATACGCGGATGGTAGAAACCAGCTTATCAATTTTTAAATTGAGTTTTAAATAATGCGACCTGAGAATTTGATATTTTAATTGTACTGACTTTTTTTTATAATAATAATAATAATAATAACAAAATTTTGGTTTTGTGAATGTATGAAAAATATAATTATTGACCTAACGATCAGAAATACTTTCATATGATTTTTTCAGGTGCCATAGACCCTATCAATACTAGTCTACTCATTTCGATGATATGAATGAACACGTGGAAGCTTTCAATGCTATGATTAATAAAAATCATTTTAATAGGTAAATAGCAGTGAACGTAAAAGCAGTGCACGTAAACGGTGTACGTACAAGGCTTCATCTGAGAAACAACAGTGATATTTCTGTCGGAAAATCCGAGACGGCATTATTTTTTGATCTTGACAAAGATATAATTTCTATACTCTTCATTTTCTTATTATTAAATTATCTGGTATAAAAAGAAACATTTTATCGAAGNTTAAGTAACTCCTCTTCATTTCCAAAAAATCTGAAGAATCCGAATATTGATATTAATTGTTAATGAACAGAAGATTATAAAATGTGTTATCAGACTTTAATGATATAGATCTGCGTTATAAGTTCTACAACTTAAATTATTATAAGGCTTCTAAATCTACTTGATTAGCTTAGATAAGCTCTGAATAAAGGTTATTTTTTAACATTAATGTCGTATTAGGATTGTGACAATAACGTGCTAAACACCATGTACACATCACCTGCTTAAAATATAGTGCATACTCTAAACTGAATTTAAAAAAAATAGTGCGTTTTTCAAAAGGTTTTTTTTATTTTTTTCTTTTTCATGTGCGTTTCTACCATCGTCTTTCTATTGCGTTTCACAACTCTTTCTCACCTTACATTAGCTGACAGTGTCACTCATGCTACGAGTTAACACGGATACAATGCGTTTTCTGATTTTGAATAGCAGAATAACTTTGCTATCTCTATTTTCAGGATTCGTATATTTACTTATTCATTGTACCGTAGCCCTTTTATTCTATAAACAGCTATAGTAATAGGAACAAAAATATAAAATGACGTAAATTGGGGTTGAAGTTGAATGAGAAACTAAAAATTAAAGCATTAGTTTCAGTAAAAGTAAAAATTCAAGTATAGGTGCAAGAGTTGCAAGAATTGGAAAAAAAATTATGAAGAGTATAGTTTCTTTGTATAAAATTTTATCTTGTTGTAAGAGAGTATATACTTCGTACTGTTCTAGTAAACTATTTCTTGATTTTTGACATTTTTCCCCTATTGTAATAACGAATAAATTATACGCATACTGGCCCACGTATAAATACGTTGGTATACTTTGAAAAATTTGTTGAACAGCATGTGGCCAATCTTATCTGAAACAAAATTTTACATAAATTTTAATCACAAACATGATTATATTTGCTTGTAAAAGAAATTAAGATGTAATAAATTATCCGAATTCGCACCGAGTCGTGTGGTTGCTTGATTATTCGTTCCATGAATAATAAATTCAGGACGAAAAATATATCGATGGCATGACTGGAATTACCTTTCACCGGCATAGTCATCACTGTAGCATTAATGCAAAATCAACAAATCAAAATTCAGTTTGGTATTCATTGATTTCCATTGCTTCGCCAATGATTTGCTTATGGTAAAATTTTGCTCTAAGTGATATTAAAAAAATATTCTTGCAAGAGTTTTATTATCACGAAGATACCAACGAAGATTTAAGGATGAAATTACGCTATTGATTCTTAAAATAAAAAAAGTTTACTTCGTATCATTGAAAAAAAAAAAAAAAAAAATTACGGTACTGTTCAGTAATTACTAATTATCCCGGCATCATGGTCATGAATATTTTAGCAGCGTAACAGTATCGAATAAATTTTCAACTAACTTGAAATTCTTTCCCGAGCACGTCTTGACCACGAAAAATTTGCATTAAAAGCTCGTGAAAGCGAGAATTCTCCTGCAAATTACCTGTGCGTAGTAATGAAAGGGAAAATTCAATTCTTCCTCTTCACAAGTTTTGAGATTTATTAGCGTGAAAAAAAAAATTAAGCTAATGAGCCAGAATAATTTTCAACAGAAATTCCCATCCAGCAATGTTTACGTCACGATTTGTACGTTTTTAATTTTTCATCCTTGCGGTTCATTTGTTTTAATATGTAATTAAAGGACGAAATACATATCATATATTTAATATGAAAACAAACAAATACACTATTAACACGTTTTAGTATTATAACAGAGTACTGTGTATGTAACAAATACAACTATGTGATACAACGTAATTTTTTATAATTTCAGTACATTTTAATTTTCTTCAAAAAAAAGGTTGTAATATGTCACAGAGCTTGTGTCAAAAAAAAAAATAAATAAATAAAAAAAAAAATAAAAAATACGAGAATGCACAGTCGATAAATTAAACTCGATCGTCATTAAAACCCAAAGCTTTAACAACTGACGGCACTTGTACGTGAAAGTCAAAAGTGTTCATAACGATTTTTCCAACATTTAAATGTACAAAGGATGTGAGGATGGAAATAAAAAAAAGCCTTTTTACTTTTTTGTTGAATTCCCACGACTCCCAACTTGTGTACGTATTTATGTGCACGCATGTACGTGCAAAGATGCAAATTTAGAGAAGGGAAAGAGCCATTGTGTGCTCCGTTTGGAAATGCAATTGAAGAGCGCACAGTAAACATTCAGGGATAGCGCGAACGTGCCTTGGGTCAAGTGTATTTTCGGATAAGACCTTCGCGATGTCACGAGTGCAGTTATCGATGTTGACCAAATGATTTGCACGCGTGTACGCATGTATACATATACGCAAGTATAATCGTGGATTTCGAGTCAACGGTTCGTCGTGCATCTGACTATTTGGTACTTTTGAATGGTGTTTTTAGAACAATAACGGGTCAAAGGGAAAATGGTGTCGATAAAACTCCAAAGTCACGTATTAATGATTTTAATTCTTGGCTTAATCGTCAATGCGACCATTTGAGTTCCGTTGCTTGTGACTTACATTTATACCACAAGAAGCTTTCAGTCTAGGTGTTTCCAAAGCTATGGAAGTTTGTCTTTTTCTCTTTAAAAAGTTACGCCAACAGGAATCTCCAACTTTTTCAGTGGCATTTTAGGGAAGGTTTTTTTTGGTATGCTACAATTTTTTTTCTGACATAAATTCGTGGACTAAAAAATTTATACTCCTCTCAACGCACATCCATTAGCGTTTCTACAATAAAAAATACACAAAGAAATCATAAAAAAATATTCTCATCGAAAATCTATAAAGGAAAAATTAATTTTTTACATCTTTAGAAATTTTTTATAATTATTTTCAATTTTGTTGTTTATAAATAAAAATACGTTTTTACCATTTGTTCATACATTTATTTTTGACTTTTTTTCCACAACTTTGATCCACAATTAAACAAAACAGTGCACAGGTATTGCTTGTTTCATCTGAACAGTTGAGTAGATACGGACAAGTTAGGCCAGACAGACGAATTAAAGTGACCTGCTCTGCCTTTCATATCCATGATTTTTAAGTTACAAATATAAATAAAATAAAAAACTTGGTGCAAATCGGGAAAACTACGTTTTATTGTCATCCATGATAAGACAAATTACAATTAGAAAAAATATTCTTATAAAGGAATCCAAAGCTTGAGCGCTTTTTAATGAATAATTAATTAATTACACCGCGTATCCCAGTATACCGTAACATTGTACACCGTATCCTGAAATAATGTGCTTTGAAGAATGTACTTTTTACTATTATACATAATTTTTTTTTCCACAGTTGAACAATGGTGAATGGGAGCTTGGTAAGATACTGTGCGACGCATGGGTTGCTTTGGACGTCATGCTCTGCACCGCCAGTATTCTTTCACTCTGCGCTATATCGATAGACAGGCAAGTATCTATACCTACGTAGATTAAAGAGAATTCAGTTTTTATTCCAAGACTCGCGTGTACTTGTAAAACTCTATTTTTTTTTTCCTCCACATTTCCGCAAACCTTTTTCATCGCATGCATTGACGCATGGTACGCAAATCTATTATTTTCCATTCCTTTTTTCCTTTTTAATTCAATGGGATTTGCAACTGTATGGAGCTCTTGAAATCCCATGCACAGCTTCTTTCCTTTCTCTTTCTCTTTTCGCGCAGCTCTTGGGCTATGTGCAACGTATAAAATCTTTGTTTGCTCGTGAGCTTTATCGGCAGCCGTGTGCACACGAGCCATGCTGATTTGAATTTAAAATGCGACCCGAGACTCTTGGGCTGAACAAGTGTCGTATTCTTCTTACGCGCGCATAATGCGTTTTCTTTTTTTTTCTCCCCCTCTAATGGATTCTTTAATAGGTGCCAGTTTTACTTGGAAAATAAATTTTCATAGCCACGTATACTGTTTTTTTAAACCCATTTATCAATTTCCAATGCTATATGCAGCGGTGTTAAATGAAAAAGATACTTCTTGCAGTAATTGTGTTTGCACAATAGATGAGGTTTTAATTATTGTCTCATCGAAAGTTTTATGTCAATACATTGGAAAACTTTACAAATATTGCTACACTTGATGAATGAAAACGCAAATTCCATTGTAATTTTTATTTCAATCGGACATTTTCGTTCCCTCCGATGAAACCTCCTAAAAACACGATACACTTAATAGTGATGTTAAATGCGATTGAATCTCAGGTACTTGGCAGTAACGCAGCCCCTGATCTACAGTCGTCGTAGGCGCAGCAAGCGACTAGCCGGCTTGATGATAGTCTTCGTGTGGGCTCTTGCAGTGACGATTACGAGTCCACCCTTGCTCGGTTGCTTCCCCCGTGCTCGCAATACCCTAGAAATCGACAAAAAGTGCTCGTACAACATGGACACGTCGTACGTGATATTTTCGGCGATGGGCAGTTTTTTTCTGCCCATGCTCGTGATGCTCTACGTGTACGGGCGCATCTCGTGGGTCATTGCCAAGAGACATCGGAATCTCGAGAGCGCGGATGCCGTTAGTTCCGGAGATCACAAGAAGACGGGCAAACAGAGAAGCCCACATGGCAGCAGCCACGACACGGGGAGCCACTTTCCCAGGGTCAATCGTGCCTCCCAGCGGAGGTACTTTTCCGCGGTGAGTCACTCATTGCTACATACTTGTGAATTTCAATTTTCATTCTTTCGCATATACAGGTAGTTTTTTTTTATCCATGTCCTTGGAACCTTACCCATACGTTTTACTTGATACGTTGTTGTGTTGATGATCTGCTCCTGCCTCAGAGTAGATTAGCTTAGGGCACTAGAAATCCATTGCATTGTAGATGCAGGACCGAGTTTGGAGCGTTCCTGTATTTTGTTGGTCTTGGTATGTTTTTTTCAACAATGAACTTGCACAGTCCATGTCTTTGGGGTTGTAGTTAGAAGACAACCGATTTTGTGTGGTTTTTTAAGTTAAAACCCAAGGGGTGTATTCAACTCAATAAAAAATAATCCACAGCATCTGTAATATATAAAATCAGTCATGAAAATTTAATAAAAATCCATTTTTTTCAAAAGTATCTACTCTTGTGTGTTTGATCTGTTACAAAAATTTTTATCATTAATGCACCCCATCATATTATTGCGAATAATTTAATCTCAAAGTATTACTTGTCTCGTGTCTGAGGCCCTTTTATTGATTATGTGCCTTGTGTAGCAAGTTTTTGTTACAGAAAATTAGATGCATTAGGTTGTTGTGATAATTGAAATAAAAAACAGGTTTACGCTATGGAAGTGATCCAGAGTAAAAATTTTTTATTTGTTTGTCCTTAATAAAGAAAAACAGAGGCAAAGAACTGTATTAAATTGATTTTACGGATGTATACTCATATTATACCTTGTAATTTATTAAAACAAAGATTTTTAAATCATCAAGTGTTTATTAATACTTAGGCGTTTAGACCAAAAATACTCTTAAAAAATTTGAATACACAAGATTCATTGAGTTGGTTTGCTATAACAAAGAAATTAACAAAAATTGTCAGTAAAATTTTTTTATTTTTTTTTAAGTAATGTGTGATGCTCATTGAATAATAAAATGTAAAAATAGTTATAAATAGTTATAAAAATAACTGCGTGTATTGCAACTGACATAACAAGTAGAGAGAAAAGTATGAATAAAATAAATGCCTTTATTAAATATAATTGTGTACAATCCACGATGTATTAAAAAAAAGGAGATCTACCAACAATGCAAAAACTGATACAATAATGCGATTTGGTACTCGAGAGACATTTTGATCCTATTAAATGAAAAAGGGGATCCTTCGTCATAAGAGGTCTATTGGCTTTCTTCTCCCGTTCAATCCTTTTATTATTATTCCACTTTATTATGAAAAAAAAATAAAACAAAATAAAATAAGAGCGGAGTTTTGTCAATAGAAAATGAAAAATAACAAATAGGAGATATTATAAGTAATATCTATCATTATTTTCGTTTTGTTTTGTTAACATATGTAATCTATTACAAATTCTCGTAGATTTTTTTGTTTTAAAAAATTCTGTGTAGAGAGTGTACAGTTATTCGTAGCAAAATCAGTCAGCTGCAATATCATGGATTTAAAAAAATGCTTCGTATAAAATCTAAAGTTTATGCGTACGTCGAAACCTCTAAAAAACATGAAATGGATAAAACGACATGTTGAAACAATGGTTTCGACGCCACAGAATGTCTAAAACGACTAAAAAATTCATGTGCTGTTATGTCTTTCACATTTTCTGATGCATAAATAATATCCGTTGGCACACCCTCAAAAAAATATGGATGGTAAAATATTGATGACAAAAAATACTACAATTCTTTTTCGGCGTAGTAAATTATTTTCAAAAGCCATCAAAAACGCTCGAAACAAGCTTTAATATTGAAGTTTGGTAAACGTTAAAAAAGTTGACGAGATTTGAATTTCAGGACAACTTAAATTTGCTTTAAACCTTCAAATGTTTTCGACTCTATCAAAATTTTAATTAAAGCCCATCTCGAATACTTTGGATCAGACGATAAAACAGGATCTCTAAAATATTTGCTGAAATTTTTTTGTTTCAGTTAACTGTAGGTCTTTTTTTTGGAGAGGGAGAAAATAAAACTAAATAGAGTAATTGATTCCTATTCTCTCTACCTCGTAATTTTTTCAAAGATGTTGATGCATGGAGCATTGTATAATTAAAAAGTGTTATGTGGAACCATCCCAAATATCGTGAAAAATTTCTAATTTATAAAAAAAAAAAAAACTACGATACGTCAGCCCCACTCACATCATTAAAGATTGGCTCTCTGTCATTTGCAGGTGATCACATTCAGTTAACCCTATGCACGACGTTTATTGATTTGTACACGTTCTTTTTTTATTAGGTATTATTATTAGTTTTGCTCTTCTTTATATTTGGAATTGACCTGGTGCGTGTCAGCTCATTCGTGTACAGTGGGCAGTAAGATACCTATTTATGATATGTATGTTTTAGAAACGAATCTATTATTCATATTTCCTATCCACGTTTTATATACCATAGTGATTGATTTTTTTTTTTTGGTTCACTAATAAAGTTTATCCACCAATACTTGCTCTCTTACACGAATTTCGACAAATTTATTAATAATTTGGATCTACGCACATAATGAAGGTAATACAAGATAGTAAATCTACCAGCGATATTAAAAAACTCGTCGGTAGTAGTGGTAAAAAAGTATTCAGCATACTTGACAGTATTCAATATCACTATTTCAACGATCCCCTCATTTAATATTGCAAATTGTGACGAATGAATCATTGAGAATCGTATTTCTGTACATTTTTTGCTTGACTCACCAACTTAACCGCTACTTTAAGTAGTAAAGTCAATGTTTGGTCAGACACGACACGTATTGGAAAACCCATCGTGTTCCAAACCTATCCCCGAGACTCCCTGTGATTATATGTAACTCGGATGATATCATTTATAAAAAAAAATTTAATCAGGCTACTTTGAGTGATAAAATCATCGTTTGGTAAGGCACAATGAGTATTTAAAAAACAGCATGTCCTAAACATTTCCTCACTAATCTCTTGACCCACAGTTAGCTTATTTTTAATTTATTTAGTGTACATAAATAGAATACATCGAAACATACACTTTTCTAAGTAGTAAAGTGAATGTTTGGTCAGATACGACACGTATTGGAAAACCCATCGTGTTCCAAACGTATCCCCGAGACTCCTTGTGATTATATGTAACTCGGATGATATCATTTATAAAAAAAAATTTAATCAGGCTACTTTGAGTGATAAAATCATCGTTTGGTAAGGCACAATGAGTATTTAAAAAACAGCATGTCCTAAACATTTCCTCACTAATCTCTTGACCCACAGTTAGCTTATTTTTAATTTATTTAGTGTACATAAATAGAATACATCGAAACATACACTTTTCTAAGTAGTAAAGTGAATGTTTGGTCAGATACGACACGTATTGGAAAACCCATCGTGTTCCAAACGTATCCCCGAGACTCCTTGTGATTATATGTAACTCGGATGATATCATTTATAAACAAAAATTTAATCAGGCTACTTTGAGTGATAAAATCAACGTTTGGTCAGGCACAATGAGTATTTAAAAAACAGCATGTCCTAAACATTTCCTCACCAATCGTTAGATTCACATTTAGCTTATTTTAAATTTATTTAGTGTACATAAATAGTATAAATAGAAACGTATACTTTTTTAAGTAGTATAGTCAGTGTTAAGTCAGACAAAACATGTCCTACAAAAAATAATTCCCCCAAATTTTCTCTCGCAACTTCTTACGATGACATAACTCGGACTAAACTTTTTCAAACAATAGAATACAAAACTCGATCAAGCATAAGTAGTTAAGTCAAAGTTTAGTCAGACACAATATATACTACAAAAAAATAACGTATTCTCAACTTTAATTCGTATCCTTCTGTGGTTACTTTTAGCTCAATTCATATTTCGTAATACAATAATAATCAAAACTCGATCAAACATAATTGAGTAGTATAGTCAGCGTTTAGTCAGACGCAACTAGTGTTCCTCAAAAATCACCAAACGAATTCCTGCGATCTCACTTAGCATACTTGACATATTTTTATATGAAAAAAAAAGAAAAGAAAAAAAACAATAACTCTATTCCTCAGAGCACCACGGACAGCAGAGCGCGAATCTTGTCCAAGTCTCCACGCTCGCTTTTGGGTTCCCGGCCCTCGACAGCCTCGGTGTCCGAAGGCACTGGCAGCGAGACAAGCCCGGCCGACAACAAAACCTCACCGTCCGCAGCGAGAACACAGGCGTCGACGGCAACAGCCCCAGGAATGACCGCGACGTCGCTGACGGTGCCGGGCTCGGAAGCGGCGACGAGCCCAAACAAGCGGCCGATGTCACGGGTTGGCACTCTGCGAAGTCACCAGCACAGCTGCATCAACAGGGTGACGAGGGAAACCAAGACCGCGGGCACCCTGGCCGTGGTAGTCGGTGGCTTCATTGCCTGCTGGTTGCCGTTCTTCATTTGCTACCTGGCGACGCCGTTCATGCCCGTCGGGCCGCCGGATGCGCTCACGCTGGTGCTCACTTGGCTCGGTAAGCACAACTTTGCGGTACTACTTTAAATAAATACCGTTTTGGGGTGAGGAGCCATTGTAAAATATCTAACGTGTAGAAATCACGATTCCTTGTAACTTTTACGATGGAAAACGAAAGGGGGAGAAAAGTCATAATTCAAGGAGAGAAGAGTCTTTCCTGGGTTTCTTGGAGCAAATAATATGTTTTTCCTTTTTCTGTCGAATAAAATTTATACACCAGACGTTTTGATGTTGCGGCATAATGTAAAAACGATGCCGTTACAATGAACCGGCCGAGTAGACAGATCCGGCAGATATATATTCAAGTTTACACGTCAAAGGACTAAAGTGTGTTTCATCTTTTCATACAGATGTAACATTTGCACAAAGCCGGATTCAAGCCATCGACTTTTGTCTACGGTTTTCTTTCCTTCGTATAACTTTCACGACGTGTCAGGATCAATGTGATTTACCTACAGGCTTATGAAAGTAATACTTCAGCGTGTGATGTTAAATCATATGTCGCTTAGCCTAATCGTAAAGAAAGGCAATAAATTCTTGCTGACTTTTTTGTCGGCCTCATTAAATCCGTATTGTATTGTATTGTACAATCAGAATACAAAACAATATTAATGCAACCTTGTAGTTTAATTATTTAAAATTTTCTGCAATAACGTGATCAAACTCAATATTGAATCTGCAATTTTTAGGGTGCAATTATTCGTTGGAAAAAATTTTTTATAACTGTTTACAAATAAATTGACAAAATTTAAAGTAGAATTGACGTGGTTTAATGTCAAGCCACAACATTTTTTACAGTAATGAGTAATCGTATTAAATCAAAACAGGTATTACGATAAAGTGGATATCTTTGAAAATTTTTATTTATTTTTCTTTTTGATGGATTGTATAATCTAAATGTACAAATGTACAAATCCATTGATATACACAATAACAAATAAATAAACGATCCAACTAATGTTATAAAAAAGTATCGTAGTACAATAAATACCGGACGAAACAAAGGCTATACAATGGGGGTGGCTTCTGGTGCATAGTATAAAAATCACTTATTTCGGTGCTAAAGTATACACATCAATCCAACGCTCGCGTGAATTATCGATTTCGCCGTCATGTCCTAAATGAGGGCAAACAATCAGGACCTGTCCAAACTTCAATTGCTTCGCTGTCAAAACAAAAAACGCCCATTACATCCTTTCCACTTTACATCGGCGAGGAAAAATAACTGCATATTCACCAAAAAATTGGATTTCTGAAACGACTTACCTTTCACTACCTTGAATTGAATCAGTAAAATTTCGTGAATATTTACTGATTGAAACTGTAAAAATGAAGTTGCATGTTAATTAGAAAAACTTCATGAATAGATAATCGAATTACATTAGTCCCACTGATTTTGCAAGGAAAATGAAGTCCTTTGGCTAAATTACAATATTTTTCATCTGTTCGGTTTAATAGATCAATGCTTTGAAAAAAAAAGTAAAAAAAAAAAAAAAAGGATTTTTCGAAGTACTTCATATTAAAATAACATATTCGTTAATAATTGAACTGGGGCCAATTGAATCGTTTGATAAATAAGTACACGTACTTTCTAACCTCTTACATATATTGACACAAAATATTTTATTTAGTCATTAGTCATAACGAGCCCTTACTCGAACAACAATCTACTTTCATTTTACTACTTAAAACGTAAGCTGAAATAAAAGTAATATATATCCTTTGTACCGGTGCACCCCTCGCATATCATTTGATATCTCAAATTTGAAGTTGCGCTTGACTTTCTAACCTCCAAAACTGTCGCTCTTGTCCCCAGGCTGGATAAACTCGGCGATCAACCCGTTCATCTACGCGTTCTACTCGGCGGACTTTCGCATGGCCTTCTGGCGACTGACCTGTCGCATGTGCGCGCCCCAGCGACCACCGTTCGACTCGAACTTCCAGGCGGCCGATCGAACCGCTTACCAGCACGCCGGTGGCTCGGCTGCGGTCACTGCGCTGCCCAGCTGGAGGCGACAAGCCTCGAGAACGTGAGACAGGCCCAGCCTCGCGGTTAGCTTCAGCCGCGAGCCACGGCTCAACAATAACAATCAGACCCTGGATTCACGTGCCGGTTCATGAAGCGGTGCTTTGAACTAGCGGTGAAGGTTGGAGGGGCATCTTAAGCGCAGATGCAATGTGGATTGATAAATTGTAAAATACGAGTGAGCGTTTGGTTTTTTGTCCACACGGAGGAATAGCGTGTGATGTACTTTTGCTGTATGTCGTCGTGAGGGTGTGCAATTGCATGAATTGATACGTTGATATTAAAACATTTAAATATGTAATACACTATGAGATTGGATTCTTGAAAATTGTATCATTGGTGTAGTGATAACAGGGTCACATTGTGTTTTTCAAAATAAAAAAAAATAAAAATATATAACTATAAAAATAATGATAGTTACAACCACACTGTATAAAATAAGCATCGAGTGTATCGTAAAATTGTAGTTTCCATTAAAGGTATATATACTCTTGTTATCGAAAAAAAGACTTTTAAAATCGCGTATCATAAACTATATACATGCATATATTACTTATAGTGAATACCAAAGAGTAATTTAAATTGACGCTTTGTATAATGTTTTATTCATGGAAAAAGGTATATTTCTACTCGTTGTCATTTCAAAGTTTTGTTAGATTGTTAATTTTATTAAAAAGTAAATTAATTTTAGCATGCGTTTATTCATAAAATTAATTTATGTAAAAAACACATTGCAGTTTGTCTAGTGTCAAAGTGCTGTGCACTTTTCAAGTCATAGACTAAGACTGCAAAAGTCTCGAAAAGAATCGAGTCTATTAAAGTAAAATAAAGTATTTGAGAATCTCCACAAGTTTACGAAATATTTTGGAAATCTACTGGAGGGTTTCAAAGTCGTGTAAGACCTTTGACGACTTTAAAGTCCCTCAAAGTTTTTCAAGGACTGAAAAAGTCTCGAAAAGAATTTTAAGTAATTTGACGTCAGATAAAATTTTTCAGAATCTCTGAAATTTCACAAAAGCCTACCGAAAGATTTCAAAGTCATCAAAGACTTCTGATAACTATAAAGTCTCCCAATGTCATGTAAAGACTGCAAAAGTTTTGAACAGACTCAAAACTTATTATCGATAATTTCAAGTGGGCAGCCCTTTATATAATGTACATTATCGTCGAAAAGAGAAAGGAAGAAAATTTGATTATTTACCACTTTAAGGAGTCAATTTGAAGTAGTAGGAAAAAAGGTCAATAAGTACTTTTGGGTAAAAAAATGATATAATTTGATCGTAAATAAAAGAAAAATGTATTTTCAATATGAATGTGAAAATTTTAAACCAACTGATGTTTAAAAATATGAAAATAACTGGCATCAGTGAATGAAATTTACGATAAAATTAGTCACGAAATTTACCGTCTTCAGCTTTACTCGAGTATCTTTAACTTTCTCATCCCAAATAACCGTGATGATATTATTGTTAAACTTTTTCCCTTTTATTTGGTAGAGTCAAACATCAATCGGATTTAAATTTAAATTTAAATTTTGGCTCCGAAGGGGCCCCGGGGCGTTGCCCTGCCTAGCCCTATGTTACTTACACCACTGATTTATCCCCTCTATCTTTCGAGGGTGACGATATGTAGCGTAGACAAGTTTTATAACTAATCATCGACTAGTATATAAGCATCACTTAAAAAAAAAGAACAAAAAAAAAAAAACACTTGATTCAGTATTGTGAAACCTTGCGTTAGTTTGGTTTTCATGTTAAACACAGTTCCTCTACTGAGTATACCGTAAATGCTATACAAATCACTATACAATATTGTATCTATAAAAATATTTACACAAATCTCAATTTATTCATCATTTAGTTGTTTATTGAACTGAGCAGACATTCAACATAACTATACAATTATTACCATACTAATGATAAAATCGATACGCATATTATACGTATACATGGCCATAAAATAAATAAACAATTTATTGTATACGTTTATATATCAAGATGTAAGTGTATAAAGTTTGTGGAATGATTCTAAAGACTTTAATTCGATTTTGTAAATAAGATAATTAAGAATGGCTGTTGCATATTATATACTATACTCGATACCAAGATTTTTAATTTTCTTTTTTTTTTTTTTAAATAAAAAAAATAAAAGTAGTTATTAAATGTATATATTTTATATTACTCAGTTAAAATAATAATAAATATTTATTCGAAATAATCGAAATGTTTCACACTTTTAATGTTCCATTACGTTTTAACTTTAGTGGTTACTAACAATAGCCATAAATTAAAACCTTTTGGCTAAATGATCGATGTACTAACCAGCTGAATTGTTAAATCAGTGAATTTTTTTTATTAGCATCAATCGGGATTTGAACTCAGTTGAAGCACCCAATGTAATTTTGGAATTTGCAAGAGTAGGAGAACTCCGATATCAGCGTCCTCCATCTCTTCCTCCCACATTAGAGCACATAGTGGTGAAGAGTCGAAGCTCCCAAAGTAGGCTCTTGCGTTCGAATCCCACTGGGGTTTTCACTTCTGCAAAATCAAGACGTATTGTCTAAAGGAATTTTTATTTCAACATTAATTAGTATTGATGCAGTATAAAGTATTCTTATATCCCAGAGTATAGGGTTTGAGTTCGAATCCCACTGGGTTTTCACTTCTGCAAAATCAAGACGTATTGTCTAAAGGAATTTTTATTTCAACATTAATTAGTATTGATGCAGTATAAAGTATTCTTATATCCCAGAGTATAGGGTTTGAGTTCGAATCCCACTGGGTTTTCACTTCTGCAAAATCAAGACGTATTGTCTAAAAGAATTTTTATTTCAATATTAATTTGATGCAGTATTAAGTATTTTTATGCGTATAATTTTTTTGTGGGCGAAAACTTTTTCACACCTGGAGTTGAAAAAGATGCTGCAGATGGTGCTATTGAGAGGGAGAAACATGAGATCACATTGTAATTGATAATAGTGAAAAATAAAAATCGTATCACATGAACTAAGGATCGTCTTGATCGTCTAGTTCATTTTTTAAAGGATTTTGTCCCACATCAGTCATCCATGAGTGAAATAAGAAATACATTTCCGATGTTAAAAAAAAGGATATGAGGCAAACACTTGGGATCTACCGTTGAGATTCAAGCCAAGCACCAATAACCGAATATGGTAAGAAGATATATAAAAAAAGGCTCTAAAGTAGTATACAGTTCGAATCCTAATACAACTTTTTTTTTTTTTTTTTTGCTGAAAACATTAGAAAGAAGGCTGTTGAGTTTATTAAATTGATGATAAAAAAAAAATACATTTTATAATTAATAAATTGACAACATGTCACAATCTCACTGTTTGTAACAAAAATATGATACAAAAAAATTAGTGTGAATTAGCTAAAAAACTGCAAAAATTTCGAAGTAGTTATCTATATAAACTAGTAATATAGTAATAGTGTATCTATCAAATAAAAAAAAAAGTAACTTTATGAAATTATTGGTTTTAGTAAGTGAAATTAAAATATTTTTGGAGCTGTTCTAATAAATTATGTTGAAAAAAATAATAAGTAAGTAATCTTATTTTATTGCACGTTATTTTATTTATACTTCATAGCAGTTTTCATAATATCCTCCTGTTACAATATATACATTCAGTTGGGTATTGGTATTGTCAAAGTTAAATCGAATCTTTATTTCATCTTGTAAGTAAAGTGTGATATTTAATAATAAAAACGGAGACACTAAATTAGTACGTAATTTAAAGATGTACGTTTAAAAAATACCCATTGACAAGCTTGAATTTTTTATTTCACATAAATCATTAGCTAAGTACATTTAAAGTAAATTAATCATGATTATAAATAATACCCCTTCGTAAGACGGCAGTAATGAAATCGATTAGACTTTGAAAGCACCACTCACGCCGATACAAAATTACACGCTAAAGTTTCTTCATTTGCACATATCATACACTTGCAGGATCAAAGCAAAGAGAAAGTATCAATTTTCTCTGTCATGCATCATAAAGCACTTATGTAGTATCACCAAACAACTTATCATTTCATCAATGTCCGAGCACGCCTAAAACGAATTAAAAATCGTGACGGTGGCTCTTCAGTATGACATCAGCTGGTGGATCTTGCGCAGTTCTTGCGTGCCCACCGATAACGGGATTGTCCGTCCGGGTCCTTTGTGCGGTATTTCAACTTCGACGAGCACGGGCTCTTTTGCCTCTTTCAAGGCCGATACCACGTGTCGAGACGGGAACACGGCGAACTGCGCCTCAGCCTGGGCACCGAACGTCCGTTTTATTATTTCTTCTCTTATTTTAGCCTAAACAAAGTCAAAAATATACGTCGATCGATTAAAACTAACGAATTTGGTTTCCCAATGGTAAAGTCATCAAGTTTGTGCAAAGATCAAACTCCATACTTACGCTCAGAAGATCAGCTTGGTCCTTTAGATTCCTTATCTTTCTTTCTCTGTCTATCATTTTATACACCGGTGTTACTTTATCGAAGATAGGTTCTTCCGTCGCCAACAAAAGCTTCCTTCTCGTCAAATCCGGCACCACAGGGAAGTACGAGATATTCCTTGCTTCCTGCGAGCAAAGAAAAACATCGCGTTAACGCAAACCACTTATCAACGGTTTCTCGACAAATCATGACGGCTTACCCTGAGCAGCTCCTGTTTCCTTTGTATCAGCTCTTTGATTTTGTTATCTTCCTCGGGCTTACTGTCAAACTTGGGCAGGGGTGGCAACGATTCAAGTTTGCGCAACATTTTTTCGCACTGCAGTGCCTGCCTTTGGCGCGACTCCTCCTTGAGGGCGTCCTGAAGCGCCTGGATTTTATCGTGCAACGCACCTTCTTGCACAGGCACGCCGATATTAGAGCCGAGGCTACTGGAACATATGAGACTGGGAGTTCCATCGGCACTGGGTGTCGTGGCCGTGCCGGTCTTTTTGCCGAAGGACTTGAGTTTCTCCTTGAGCTGGCCCTTCTCGGACTCCAGACTGTCGATGTCCGTTTGCAGATGGTCCATCGTCTCTTCGAATTCTTTTTCCTACATCGACCAAAAAAAAAGGGTATCAGTGATTTGCAATCAGTTTTGTTGCAAAAGCCACATGTCCTACCTTTCGTCTCAGAAGAGTCTGGACCTCCTCCAAGTTTCTCTTTAGCTTTTCGATGGACAATTCGTGCTCGTGCTGCTGCGTAGTGAGTCGTTTCTCAGCCAACTCCTTTCTCAAAATCATTTCGGACAGTTCCTCTTGTTTTTCTCGGAGAGCCAGTTTGGCCTCGCGTACATCAGCGTCTCTTGACTCGAGTTTCCTGTTTTGAAAAAAAAAAAAAAAAGCTCTATAGTAACCCTTGCAACGCCAACCAATAAACAATGAATGAAATGTTGAAAAACATATACTCCAACCTGCTGAGAATCTTGGTCTCCTCCATCTCCTTACGGGTAGCCTGAGCTCGTACGAAAATCGGGCTGTTCTCCTCGACGTTATCCTTCCTGCGAAGAGCTTGACTGCCGCTAATGACGAGCTCGTTCTCGCACTCGGCCATCTTTTCAGAGAGACTCGTAGCCACCTTTTGAACCACAGAAAGACTAGCCTTGATCGTGGCTATGGCCCCGATGTCGTCCACATCGTAGATCTTCTCCGTCGAGATGGCCGTCATCTCCTTGAGCTTTGACGCGCTCAGGCCCGTATCTAGATCTACGATTCATTAAGAACGAGTATATAAAGTTGTAGCTGCTCGGTTGATTTACTGCAAACACCAAGACATTCGGAAGAGACGTACCTCCACTAGTAAGTATGGTCTGCAATGAAGTTTTCGTTAGGTCCTGCAACACCTTCGTCAGCTTCGTGGAGTGTTGGTAGCACGTGACGATTTGCTCATACCAGTCCTTGGATAGGCCGAGGTTGGCTTCGTTGGGCGAGAGAGTCGAGAGGAATTCACGGGGTACGCGTCGTCGAGCGGTCTTCAGATTCTGTTGAACGGCATCGCAGACGGTTTCGATGTGCTGGCACAGCAAGCCCATGTCGCCCGGCTCACCGTCTATGAGATTGCGAGTGGTAGCTGCCTCGGTGCACAGTGTGTCGCACGCACTGCTCAGACACCTGGAATAAGGGAGGGGAAAAAAAAATCCGTTGATCCTATCCAAAACACTGTTGTTTTTCGGGGAATTATCGTGTAACAAGTTACCTAGTGCCATTGACAACGAGCCGTGCTTGGTTCGTCAAATCCTCCTCGCCAAAGTAGATGCCGAACATTGTGCAAAAGTACTGGCAGCACTTCTCAATGGCCTCCATTGGCAGATTCTCGTCGAGCTGATCGCGCCTCGCGAGTTCGATCAACGAGTCCACGGATTTCTCCTGGGCTGCCATTTCAGGATAGCTACTGCCGATTTTGAGCAACAGTTCGGGACTACAGACGTTCAAAGCCGACTCGAAGCAGCCGAGGGCTGTTTGCAGGGCGTACATGTGTACGCACAGCCGAGACCTGAAGGCACTCTGGGCTACCGCGTGGCCTTTGACTACCGCAGCTCTGAAGGTACGAGAGTTTGTTATCATCAAGCAACAACAGTTTCAAGCAGAAACATTTATGTGTACGTTAACCAACCGGTCGATTTTTTCAACGGGCTTGTACTTGTCTTGCACTTGAGAAATGAGTATTTCGGTCTTTTTGATCAACCTCGGCACAAACAGAAGCGTCAAAACGGCATCGTGATCACCGCCTCTGTTCATAAATGCCGGAGGCATGAACGACAACAAATACTGTACGTGGTTCCGAGCTTCTTCGGCGTCTTGCCGCCTCAATTCCAAATCCACTGCCTTGGTTTGCGCTTTAGTTTCGGCAAAGGTCTTCTGAAAGTCGAGGATCTCGGCAAGTTGTTGCCCCGTTCCTAAAAACACGACAACGTAGATATTTTTGATGACGCCGTGCTGATCGGCACCAGTCGGGAAGCAAGTGTAATACCTTTGGCCGCGGTCTTGGTCGACTCGGTCGACTGAAGTCGATTCTGCAACTCGACGCACTGTTCCTGCAGCTTCAGGGTGAGCTCGCGGAATTTGGTGATTGTCATCTCGCGGTCGGACAAAGTTTCGAGGGCGGCGTCCCGCTGACGTAAGGCGTCTCGCGCGCCACCCAGCGCCATGTCTAATTCTTCCCTGAGCTCCATTTCCAGCTCTTTGGACGATTCGGCGAGCTGATCAGACATGTCCTGCGCAAAGTGTGTTAATCAGAGAACAATGGGATTATTGGTAACTGTGAGGGCAGTTTACTTTGCTGAATGCAAGGGTTGGATATTGCCATTGGTTTCTACGATTGTACGTATAAATTATTGCTGTGAAAAAAGTCACTCACTTGCAGAGCCTCCAGATCCGTGACGGCTTCCTCGAGTTCCGCGACTTTCTCCTCCAGAGCCATTTTACGTTCACCGAGAACCTCCACCATCTCTTCGGCACCCAAGGCTGCGTCGACCTGAAAAATTGCCGTGTTAACGCAACAAATTGCCGTGAAGAATGAAACGAAAAATAATTACTTGTTCCTGAAGATCGGCAATTTGATTCTCCATCTCCTCTACGCGTTCCGACAGCTTTTCTTTCGTTCTGCTAAGCTCCAAAATCTCGGATTTCTTTTGCTCCAAATCCTTTTGCAGCTTTTGAAACTCGTGCTTCTCGTGAGCCGATAAATCCCTCATTCTAACGAGCGTCTCGCGCAACCTGGCGTTCTGCTGTTCCAGCTGTTTCACTTCGAAACTCGTTGTCGCTCCAGTTACCACTGTGCTCCCAGACATCTGTCAACATTCACTCATTAGTCTTGAATCATCAACAATGTATCAAGATTCATGTCGCGTCAACAAAACCTTTTCAGACATCTCGTTTCGCAGGATTTCCAAGTCCAAGGTTTGCTCCTCGAGTTTTTCCCTGAGTTGTTCCAACTCGATTTGCAGAGTCTCAGCCTTCTCCTCGGCCATTTCCTTGTCAAGGGTGGCCATCTCGACGGTCTCGGCCAAGTCCGACATCTCATCCTGGTACTGTTCGCGCGCAGCGTGGGCATCCCGAGTTTCTTGGCGAGCCCTCTGGAGTTCTCTTTGCAGGCTGGCCTGTGGGAACCCACCAACAAACAATGAAGTCAACAAAAAAGGAAGCTTGAGGTGATTGACAAAGGAGTATACTCGTACCTGACTCTCCATCACTTTGGCCTTGAACTCGATGAGTTGCTCGATTTGAATTTTCATTTTCTCAAAGTCCTTCAGCTTCTCCTTGTCTTGCATACGTTTCACGCGCAGTACCTCTATTCGTTCCGAAAGATCTCGAATCTATATACCACAGATGGATCGCACAGTTACATTTTTTATAATTGTTCGACAACATCGCGTATTCTTTGCTTACCTGAGCTTTTAAAGATTCATTTTCTTGTTGGAGATGTAAAATGGTGAGTTTTTCCTCTATCACGTTGGACTGAACTGCACTTGGGCCAATGGCTTGACCAGGTACAAATTGTGGTTTCAGAGTTTCCACAAAACCAGTCTGTTGGAGGAAAAAAAAAGCATTGCACATATTACGTACAAAATTGAATAATCACACGATGTTACATTCATGTAAAAGGTGTATTTAAGCTAAAATATTAATACAAGTTATTCGTGTTAATCTTTGCCAATGCTACTATAGTCACCTTTTACATCGAGATCACTGACTAAATGTTATTCTCGTTGCAACTAAATAATATTATTTGTGTACATTTATGTTGCGGATTAGGATTCGCTAAAGTTATTTTATTATCGAGAACGTTGTCTATCGCTTCTTTAAACGACAAATTCGTACATTCATTGAATACTTTTGGATCGTTACAACGTTCCCTCAACTAAATTGTTGGATAAAGACTATGTTAGTCTAGTAGTATAGTATAACGTCAAACACCAAAAAAAAAAAAAAACAATTAAGCTATATGCATGTAAGTGTGCAGGAAAACGGTTAATAATTTAAAACTCGCAAACATACATAAGATTAACGCAGTCAAAGATGCATTTCGGTGAGAGTTTTAGATGCAAATGTTGATGCTTGGATATAAATTTAGTTGACAGAGTCCTACCGTGTGCTAATGTATTTCGCTTTCCTACTGATTGTTCTATTTTGCCATGACAATACTTGTCAAACAAGAACACAAATTTATACTTTGTTCTACAATAAATCATGGTAGAAATAAAAAAAAAAAAAAAACAAAAAAAAAATAGAGTTAAAGGAAGTCAGTTTTATTAAACTGTCATCAATACCACTCGAATAATGACGAAGGTGTGACGTTTTTTTTCTTTCTGTTGTTAAAGAGTCGCATTATATACTTATTAATAAATAGGTGGAGTAAGATATATAGGCAGTGCTATGATTATAATAGTAAACAGCTGCAAGAACGACTAGTATATGTTAGATGCAAATAAAATTTCGAGGATACATGTATAAACAGCCAATGGGGTGAGTACGATGATGATTAATATGTAGAAAAAACGGTTAATGTAGCAATAAGAAGAGAGCTGTGCAGCTTTGGACATTTTCGATCAAGATAAATTGGAATGGTCCAATTTTGCAGATTTCATTGACTTTGCTGTGTTCAAAAAATTTTTCTACAGCATAAAGTCACGTTGTATTGAAAATCTGCCCAATTCTGTAGCTACTTAATCAAAATGTTAAATCAAGAGGTAAAGTCGAGAAAATTAAAACGATTAACATAGGTATGTATGTGTTGTTATGATGCGTATACAAGTAAGTTGATGGCCGATGTATCGTACAAGAACATAGTGAGAGAGTTTAATTAGTTACGTTGTCGTGATCGCCAGGGGTCTTCGACTTTTTTCCTGGTGTCAAGCTCGTGCTAGGAATTTTCTGAAAAACGTTACATTGTGCATAGTTTTCCAGTGTCCAGATAGTGATTTTTTCTTTTTTTCTTTTTTTTTTTTCGCTCCAAAACACATATATTTAAACGTGGTAATGTACCAGCACTTCAAACCTTCTTTTGAGATAATAATAAGGATTATAAACTTGCATCTGCTGTTTGCACACCAGATACAATTTTTATTTTGCGAGAGACAAACAACCTCTGTGCGTTTGTGCATTCGTTGTGTTATCAGTTCATTGGCAATATTTTTGATCTCGATCTTTTGTCACAAATCCCTACACGTGTATCGTGAAGGACAATTTGGAACGAAAGATTTACCTTTCACCGGAATTTGGAAAAAAAAAAAAAAAAATAATAATAATAATAAGACGATGCACGTCTAGACATGATTATTAGTTGTTTTGTAACATTTATGAACAGCTGTATTTTTAAAGATAATGTAACGGTATAAAACCATTAAATTTTTAATCACATGGAACACAGACAACCACATTAGAAATGAGTAATATTAAAAAAAAAAGTGTGACAAAGATGTTTTGTTTTTTTCAAATAAATTCTTCTTTCATTGGATGTTCAAACCAATCGGTCAAACAATAGGAGGACAAAAAAAATACAAAAATGCAATGAAAATAAACCTCAACGAAGGAAGCCCTCTTGGTGGTCGTGGGAATAGGTATGTGCGTTTCGCCGGCATCCTTGCGCTCGTGGCCGACAGCGGAGCTGAGATTTTCCGTACTAGGCGCGGCCAAGTGGCTCCTGCTTCCTGCCAGTGACAGCCTCGAGCTGCGAACACGGAAGGTGCTTTTTTTTTGACAAAATCGGCAGTGGCTCGTTTACGTTGCGCGTTTGCAGAATTTAGAGGAGAAACTGTGGTGATGGTAAACTTTTCACAAAAATAATAACATGGATTCTCGGTTTTATTGATGTTTGCGCCGGTGATTTTTACAAGTTATTCGGGACAAAAGTAAAAAATCAACTTGATTGGAGTGCCATCGCTTGAAAATTACATGTACACATTGAATTGTTTCGCGTTGCATGAATATAAACACCAATAAAACAGAAAACAAAGTATCGATTTTCATGAATTTTAAGACTTCAAGATCATCAGAAAAGAAAAAATTAATGTTTTTAGCACAGCACTTCATGTACAAAATGTTATTTTGAAAGTTAGTTACTTGACTGACACAGTAGTGTTTTTTTAATGCAAACATAATTCATACAGATTTGTATAGTATATAATAAGCAGTATCATCAAGGGTTCAACGGTTGTTTTTGATATAATACAAAATTTTTCGTCTGAAAATCGAAAAGATCAACACATTTGGACATTATTATTAACTCCAAGTTGTTTTGTAGTTCTCATTCGTACATTGCACGTGTTGTTCATTGGTACACTTTTAGGATTTTTACTGAAAGTAAAATAAATATGTCGAATAAAACCTGTCGTAATGAGAATTAAAAATCCTTCTTAACACCTTTACTAAGTTGGCGAGGCATTGCATTAAAAATTGTAATGTGATCAAATGTAACTAAAGTCGTTTTATAATATATCAATATTGAATACTCAAATTTAAAAAAATTTGTGAATCACCACTATTTTCTCCTCTGCAACATATATACCATATGTATATTAACAAGTCATATTGAGCAACAAAATGCGTGTAACGTGCATTCTTCCTATGAAGTTGTACGGTATTCATTGTAGATTTTTCTCAAATCTCACAAGCCAAATGCTGGACAAACTTTTTTCAAGATTGCCTCTTCTACTGACTAAAGGGTACACCACTGCATAGTAAAAAAAAAACAAATCTATTGATAAACAATAAACAAAATTGGAAAAAAATTGATTACAACACAATGAACAAATAAAAATAGAATAGCATTTAAGTGCACGTGTGTGTGCGCTCAAAAACTTTCAAAGTAGTTTTAAATCTGCTGTTTCTAAGTAAAAGTACGAGATATTTCACAATTATATGTATACAAGCACAATAAAAGCAGTTACGAATTGCATCTTCAATACACATGTATGTAGAAGCAAATTAAGACAGTGAAGAAACAGTGATAGAGATGGTACGTCTACGTTGCTTTTCAATTTCCACTGTGATTCACTCGTATAGGCCTCTTACCCTGAAAGTTTTTCTGTTTGTTGTATGACTTGAGCCGGCGACGTTTTTCTTCGTACTCTTTATTTATTCATCCCAGCAGTTGGAGTAACGAATAAAATGTTTGTTTGGTTAATTTTGGAGTTCAGCCAATTAGTTAGAGTAATGGTTTTTTAAAACTTTTTTGTTATTTTACAGACCAACGAAAAATTTACTTCACAAAAAATTAAAGGAACTTGATTATTTTGTCTAAAAACTTACGCAGTCGGCTGATTCCTTTGACGCATGCCAGCGCTGATGGTAAAAATTTCTCAATTGAGCCTATGTTCTTATGGTTTTGTGCAAAATTTATCTTAGTAAGGAACTCATTCCCTATGCATTCAATGAAAGTGTAACACACATTCTTTGAGATCCATCGAAATTTTTCGAAATTACAAGTAAATGAAAGTCATTTGTTAACAGTTTTCATGGCAATATGTACTTAAAACAATAGAAATTTGAAACTGTTTTCTTGCAAAAATTTAAATTTAGTTTATAGGAAATGGTAAAAAAATTCTGTGCATTACACCTTGATTATCACTATTTCAACAATTTGGGGGTATCAGACAGTGAGATGCATCATTAAAAAAAGAAAATATCCTGTAAAGATAAGCTCTTTGGAATAAGTTCAAAAATTTTCACCTGGTGAGTCGACTTCTGGCCCTGGAAGCTCCAGATTCATCTGGGGTTGTGGGGCCACTGGCAGCTACAGAGGGTGAACTAACAGGCTCCATCCTATTTCCAACTTCGTCAATTAGGATCAACTGTGACTGACGCACAAACATTCCATGGTTTTCTGCACACTGGGAAAAAAAAAAAAAAAGTAATCATCAGTAGTCTTCACTCACATAGACTAAAAGTGTTTTTTAACTAGCAGCTAAAGCTGATTTTATAAGATTTAAGATCACAAGCAAACTGGTTATTACTGTTATCTATTTATGCTCACAGTAGGCTTACAACTTGAAAATAGTGATAAATAATAGCAATAAACAGGCAACAATATAATCTTAAAAATTTCACTCTATTATTAAGTGTCATCATTAGATTTTCAAAGTAAGTGCATCATGATAGTACTGTTCCGCTGCTCTAGATAATGACAAAATCTCAAACCAAGTAAGGAGGTAGCTGAAAAAACTCACTTTGAAATAAAACTGGCCCTTGATAGTGCCATTGTTCCTGCCCTTTGGCTCATCGAGTATCACACCGATCCACTTGCCAGCAGCAAAAGCTGGGTGTCCGATATAGGCTATCGCGCCCTGACAGTCTTTCCCACCGATCTCGACGCGCTGGCCGATTTTCAGCGATATTTTAGAATCTGATCCAGCCATCGCCCAGCCAGATGCAGGCCAGCTGCGCTTTCTGTCACGAACGAACACAGGAAGTGGAAGTCCTACGGTGCTTGAATGTGAAGAGGATTTTTATCTTCGCACCGCTTGTTAGCTATACATTTATTCTTCGGCTATTATGCACTTGTAGTTATTAAGTATATCCAGTGAAAGGACACCAACACTCCAAAATTGTTACTCTACGAATTATTAGCAGTCAATAATATCATTATCGTCGGAGGAAGTGTGACAATTGCACTAGCAGTCGACGCCATCGACCTCTACGTGACTATATATATATATATATATATATGTGTGTGTATATAGGCAGTATAGGTTCGTTCACTGCATGTAGTTAGTGGAATGTATTTATTGTATATTGGAGTAGTGGAGTACACCTAGTGAACCTGTTTCCCCGGCGGGCTTTTACAAAAAACAAAAACAACAATAATGTTTTTGCCAACAAAATTTTTACATTATCAATAAACAACGATGTTTATTTGTTGAATTTGAATATCATTTGCGTGTAACAACTGCTGTTAATTGTATAAAAACATTATTTTCATCGTATTTGTATGACTAAGTAATCTTTTTGACTTGGATAGTTTATTAAGGATGAGTGCTTAAATAATGGTAGTTTTCCTATGAGTTTGAAAAGTCTCTGTTTGCGAACCGCGAGGTTTGCGGCCCGGGCCGAAGGCGAGGGACGTAACGAGGTTCGTAAAGGAGACTTTTCGAACGAGTTCCGGAAAACTGCTTTTTCGCCCGAGGAAGTACCAGCCTCCCAAAACCACCCGAGGGCGGAAATAGTAGTTTTCCTACGAGTTTGAAAAGTCTTTGTTTGCGAACCGAGACGTTTGCGGCCCGAGCCG